AGAATAGCAAGCATTGATGGGTTTCACGGGACAATTTTGAACTTTCAAAGATAAAATAATTTCAGTGTTACTTATTTTTTTCCCTCACAGAATGGAAAACAGATCAATCACATTTTGGATTCTTCAAGAAGCAGATAAAAAAATTTTTTATTCATTTATTTGAGAGAGAGAGAAAAAAAAAACGAGCAGGGGGGAGGAGCAAAGGGAGAGGGAGAAGCAGACCCCCCGCTGAGAAGGGAGCCTTGATCCCAGGACCCCAGGATCATGACCTGAGCCAAAGGCAGATGTTTAAGCAACAAAACCACCCAGATGCCCCAAGAGGAGGATAAAATGAGTTGATTACAAAAGATTTATTGGAAAATAACGTTTTGAAAGTAAAAGGTAAGGAAGCAGGATTGAGAAAAGGAAGCCATTAGACCATGATGCGGAACTGACAAAAAAAACCTGCCATTGTAAAGGGGAACTCACCAGAGGTGTCCCATCCTGGGTGGAAATAGGCCCTTGTCTAGCCTACTTATTCTGTCATTGTCTTGGGCTCCAAAATTGAGGAAGAACCTAAAGAGGTGGACCGCTGGAGGCTATTAATTCTTATAGGTAGGCAGTAAGTCCTCGAAAAAAGATCTGAGGGGCACCTGGATGGCTCAGTGGGTTAAGTGTCTGCCTTTGGCTTGGGTTATGATCTCAGGGTCCTGGGATCAAGCCCCATGACAGGCTCCCTGCTCAGCGGGTAGTCTGCTTCTCCGTCTCCCCCTGCTTGTGCTCTCTCTGTCTCTCTCCCTCTCAAATGAATAAATACAATCTTAAAAAAAGAAGAAGAAGAAGAAGAAAGATCTGAGGGGCTCATCTCCCTGTATTCCAAAGGAAGAGAGAATCCATATGATTTTCATGAAGGAAGCACAGTATTCATACCAAAATTTGATGAAAACAACATAGTAAAGATTAGAAATCAATCTCACTTATGAACATTCGTACAAAAAATATAAATAAAAATATTAGTCATACTAAAAATATTACACATTTGACCAAATGGAATTTATTTCAGGAAAGCCAGAATGTTTCAATATTAAGAAATCCATTAGTCTAACTTGCCACGTTTTTAGGAGTAAGGGGAACAATTATATAATTATCTCCATAGAAATGGAAAAGGTCTTAGGCTAATTCAACACGCTTGATAATAAATAATAAATAAAAAATTCAAAATGATTTCTTGACATAATGAATGGCGTAAACAAATAGGTAGATAATTGGCAATACCAAGTATAATGTGTGATAGTCTTGAAAATTGATATAACTACTTAAGAAACTATTTGACCCAGAAATTGCATTCTTAGATATGTATTAGCAGACACGGACAAAAATGTGCATAGAAGCAATATAAGAGGTGACTCTAAGATAGCCACAAATAGGAAACTGGAAATCACACAAATGTTATCAACAAGAGAATTTTTTTTTTAAGATTTTATTTATTTATTTGACAGAGACACAGTGAGAGAGGGAACACAAGCAGGGCGAACAGGAGAGGGAGAAGCAGGCTTCCCGCGGAGCAGGGAGCCTGACATGGGACTCGATCCCAGTACCCTAGGATCACGACCTGAGCCAAAGGCAAACGCTTAACGACTGAGCCACCCAGGCACCCCTCAACAAGAGAATATTAAATAAATTGTGTTATATTCATAAATCAAGATATCATACAGAATGGAAATTACAAAAAAGATTGCTTCTAACAATATTAATGTATTTCAAAGAGCTAATGTTGCCCAAAGAAAGCTAGACGTAAAAAGTACATACTTTATGATTCATGTATATAAAGTGAACAAGTGTGTGTGAAAGTGATCTCTGGGGATAGCGTTTAGGTTTGTGATTACAAAATGTAACAACCAGGAGGTAACAAGAGGAAGGTTCCTGAGGTGCAGGCCCTCTTCTGGATTATTATCTGTGTTGTGTCACACAGGTGCATACACATTTTAAAAATATATGAAGCTTCGGGGCGCCTGGGTGGCTCAGTTAATTCCGTGACTGCTTTCGGCTCAGGTCATGATCCTTGGAGTCCTGGGATCGAGTCCAGCATTGGGCTCCCTGCTTGGTGGAGAGTCTGCTTCTCTCTCTGACCCACCCCCCTCTCATACTCTCTCTCTCTCTCTCATTCTCTCTCTCTCTCTCAAATAAATAAAATCTTTAAAATATATATATATACATAGATGTATAAAGCTTCACATTAACAGTTGTGCATTTTAATGAAGGTATGTTATACCTCAATAAGTTCAAAGTGAATAATTCTTGCAATTAATCACTATATATTGAATAAAATAAAGGAAGAATCTATGGGTCCATAGGAATACTCAGTAATAAAAAGGAGAAGAGGGCATAGATTTACATATAGAGGAATACAAGCTAGTAAATGTAGAATTGATGATAGAGTAAAATAACCTCCAATTTTCAAACACCATGTAATCATTGCTGCAGGCATATAATTAGTACTCAGTAACAGGCAATTTTTTTTAAAGTGTTTTTGTTTTATTGCTATTTTTCTTAATGGAGTGGGAGAAACCCCAGAGCCTGCCTCCAGGACATGCCTAAACACTGACGTGTGCCTGTCTGGCTGGCTGGTCAGAGGCCCCACAGACTCCTGCGTGAAGGACCCCTAAGGCCAAACGGTCCCCAGTGTCTAGTGGTCCCTGACCAGCTGGGCATCAAACAATTAATGGTAGAGACAACATATAATATATTGTTGATTTAGAACACATTTTAGAGTAAGAGGTAACTCTAAGGTAATTAAAATTATATAATTTAAAAAATAGTTATTTATTGGCCAATAAATTATTATTATATTGGTGGTCTTATAAAACAGTTTCATTCAAGGGCGCCTGGGTGGCTCAGTCGGTTAAGCGTCTGCCTTCTGCTCAGGTCATGATCCCAGGGTCCTGGGATTGAATCCCGCATCGGGCTCCCTGCTCTGTGGAGAACCTGCTTCTCCCTCTCCCTCTGCTTGACGCTCCCCCTTTGTGCTCTCTCTCTTTCTGTCAAATAAATAAATAAAATCTTTAAAAAAAAGTTTCATTCAAAAGTTATTTTCTAAAATAAATTCCTTATAAAATATACGATTAGAGATGTCCATATATTTAAAAAATTAAAAATTCACAATGATTTATTGGATATTAAGACTCATAAACAGAATATTTATTCTTGGTATATGCTCACCTATTTTATCAGTTATTTTGCCATATCTCTCTCTAATACTATGACACTGGCATTCTTCTGAAATATGAATGCTTTTTAATATGACCATATTATAATTATTTTTTCATAAAATTTTGCTGAAGTATTCTTCAAAGTTGCATTTTATGGTTAATAAATTTAAAATTATTGATAGCTTTTAAAAACCATCTAGAAATCTAGATGAAATTCTATTGAATCCAGAAAGCCCCTTCAAATTGCATCTATCACTTAAATATACATTTAATATAAGAACTTATTTACTTACACTGTTTTTGTTTTTCCTCATGTTTGCCATAAAAAAAACTTGAAGTATAGTTACTTAAAGATTACGTGTTTAGTTTTAATTAATGACATTTTTCTCTTTGTAATAAATGACTAATTAAATTTTTAATTAATGTAATATTTAAAATGAAAGCCATTTACTTAAAAGTAATGAAGTATGTGTTGACCCTGCTTGAACATACAGTGCTATCTCAACAGTGTTGTTCCTAATTTTATAATTAGTAGGTACTATCTTTATCAACTGATTGCATATATTTCAAATAACCTTTAAATAGATAACTACATCTCGTTATTCTTTATAGAGTGTTTCTTATAAAATAAATAGATATTCTAAATGGCCAAATAAATTAAAAGCACACAGGCTTAATTATTCTCATATAAAGATTATACCTCTACTTAAAAGTAGTGTAATTAAAGTTTCATATGAGTTTTGTTTTTCTCCACATAGTTGTTTTGCTTTTGATCCTTTTATGGTTTCCTTTATAGTTTACAGTATATTTTATGTGGTACATGGTCATCATTTTTTTCTGCCATGCTTTTTTAACTCACCTTATACAGCATTTATTTTAATAGATGCCTCTTTGTGCCAGCAGGAAGAACTATTAAACCAAAAATTGTAAAGCAGTGTGGTGTGGTGGAATACACACAGCCTTGGGTATCAGGTGGACCTGGGTGCAAAAAGTAGGTCTTGCACTTATGCACTGAAGGATCCCATCTGTAAGATGTGAATAATAGTGAGGGTTAATGTCCCTAACAAATGTTGACTAAATAGTGCCTATTATAGTATTTTCATCATTACCATTCCTAGAGTAAAACCCAAAGGAAATGGTGCATAAACACATGGTGCCCTGATTCATTGATAACCATTTGTTTATTTCTGATAAAACGGTGAAGGAGCACTTGTGGTCATGTGGAAAATATACTATAAAGTGATAGATGAAAGCAAGCAGAAAGCATGAGGCCAGCCTTCTTATGTTCTGCCACCTTTAATCATTGACTTGGTTTTAGGAATGCAGAAGATAAAACAACAAACAAACAAACAAAAACAATTGAAGAACTAAAAGACATATTGCAGAGGAAAAGCTTGGGTTTAAAACAAATCATTAACTATTATTCAGTGTATTTCTTGATTATTTAAGGAGTCCACACCTCCCGGAAAGAAAAGCAAAGATTGAGAGCCAGAAAATAAACTGGGAGCAACAAAGTCTTTTATCAAGTAAAGACTTCCCATAGCCACTTATTTGAAGATTTCATAAAATGTCAAAAGTCAGATTAAACAAACATAATAAGAATAATGTGTCATTATATTGGAAAGGTTTTTTTTCACTAATTTTCTTTTGTCTTTTGGCAGAAGAAAATAAAGCCATCTTTCTCCTGCAAAAAAGCCTGGCAAAAGATTTATGAACTTTTTTGTTCAGCGTTGCTATAGCATACTGTTTGAAATTCACAGGCTTGAACAAATGAATAAATATTCATCACCTCTGCTTTCTTCTTTTTTCTAGGTGCCTCCCATACTCCTTGATAAGCAGTTCTCTGAATTCACTCCAGACATTACACCAATCATTTTGGCAGCCCATACAAATAATTATGAGATAATCAAGCTTCTAGTTCAGAAAGGAGTCTCCGTGCCCAGACCCCACGAGGTACGCTGCAATTGCGTGGAATGCGTCTCCAGCTCGGATGTGGATAGCCTCCGCCACTCACGCTCCAGACTCAACATCTACAAGGCCTTGGCCAGCCCCTCTCTCATCGCACTGTCAAGTGAAGACCCTTTTCTCACAGCCTTTCAGCTAAGTTGGGAGCTTCAGGAGCTGAGTAAAGTGGAAAACGAATTCAAGTCGGAGTATGAGGAGCTGTCCCGACAGTGCAAACAGTTTGCTAAGGACCTACTGGATCAGACAAGGAGTTCCAGAGAACTGGAAATCATTCTTAATTACAGAGATGACAGTAGTCTCATAGAAGAACAAAGTGGAAATGATCTCGCGAGACTCAAATTGGCCATAAAGTACCGTCAAAAAGAGGTGAGTGTTGCCAGACCTTTTTATCAAAATGTCGTAGGATTTATTCACAGTGATGCCAACTGGTACTCTAAAATTACGTTTGGGCTTTAGAGGCTTTTCTGCTTACCTGCAAATGGATGATGTTTATTCTTTGCCAGATTAATAATTTCGAAACACATTGAAGAATGGCAAGAAATGGCATAATAACTGGTGATGGCATTTGGCGAATGTGGTAAAATGTACACATTTACTGTGGTATAATGGAAAAACGGATGAATTTTAGAATCTCCACACTGAAAGTTCTGGTTCTGCCATTTATAACTCTTGTTCCTTTAGAGGGCCTTGTTACTTTTCATATCTCTTTGAGATTTAGTTTCCTCATCTGCTTAATGGATTTAATATATATAATATTTTGTTATATATATTTATTTATATATATAAAATACATTCTTCAAAGATTTGTAGGAAGTATAAAATGTGTGTGGATGGGTGTGAAGGCTCTTAGTAAATTATAACTCCTTATGTTAATAAAATACATTATTAGAAGTTATTAATAAAGGGAAAGCCCTTAGTCCAACAGCAGATGAAAGTACTAAAACCTCTCACGTCTGACTTAGTCTCTTGATTGGTCAGGAATAAGAAATTTAAGAAGTTAGTTGCAGAAGAGTTATAAATTTCTCATGAAATTTCCATGGATTTGAATATTAAGTAAAGAAAACTCAGATCTGTCATATTCATCACCTAGTGTAATTGTTTTTGTTTCCATTTCTGAGTTAAGTGAGTTCTCAAAAATCTGTTTACTTCCATCTTCAGAAAATATTGGCTCTGTGTTCACTCTTGAATTATAGTAATTATCTATTCTAGAAAGTCAGTTGGAGAAAACTATATAATGTAAGATGAAAAAGAAAAAAAGACTTCTGAATAAAAAGTGTATTCAATTTTTTTTTTTTTTTTTTTTTGCGGTCAGCCGTGATTATTCCACATTAGTCTTGGCTGCTTTTTCTACTGCTACTTACTAAATATTCAAGGTTCAAAATACCTGAATTTACTTCCTCGAGTTTTTCCTGTAGTTCTTTGGCCAGTTGTCATGGGATCCTGAAACTAGTTGAAATGATCTTTTCCCCTAACAATGAAGGAAATAGCTTCTTTTGTGTGCATTCCCTCTGATTCCAAAATGACACACACCAGTTTGAGCCATGTCAACAGTATCAACTCATTTTTTTTTTACGTTCTTGTGTTTAGGGCTCAGGAAACTGATATTTTAACAGAACTAGAATAATTTTAATATACAACTATATGAAATTGATGAAAAACTTCACTTGATTAGGGGTTTTTATATACTAAATATGACACTTAAAAGTAATAGCATGTATTAGAACTGATAAAATGAGGGGCACCTGGCTGGCTTAATCCATAGAGCATGTGACTCTTGACCTCAGGTTGTGAGTTCAAGCCCCATGTTGGGTGTAGAGATTACTTAAAAATAAAAAATCTAAAAACAAAAAAGAAGAACTGATAAAATGAGGTAAGATATTGATGTGGCCTCAGAATTTGAGCTAGTTCTTCTCAAGTATCTATTATTAACCCAGTATTATGCTTCTCTTTCTTTAGTTTTCTGTGGGGAGAGGGATTTAAGGGATTGACACCGTAATTACAAAGGTCTTCTCCTATGATATATCTGTTCAGGGTTGATGCTATCCCCTGGATTGTGAGTGAGATGAAATTCCCAGGATGTGAAATCCACAAAATGAAACAAAGAACATAGTAGCAGCAACTGGCTGTGCTCACCTGTTGCATTTTTGTTCGCTCTGCAGTTAGCGAAACAACCTAGCTCTATTTTATGCCTACCCTGATTTTGATCCTGATATCATAACTGATTTAACTTTGTCTTTGGCCACAATGACTTTTGTGAAAGCACTGGAACAAAATGCTCATTGAGTTTTTTACCATCCTCTCTGAATGGAATACTACAGAGACATTTAATCAAATGAAGCTGCCGTATTCTTGTCAAAAGGTTGTCCAAGACAAAATATTTTAGTATGAATTTCTTACATATTAACATAGGAGTATATTTTTACTCACAAATCATTTTTATACAATTCTATTCATTCATTCATTTCCTCATTCATCAACTCTTTGAACATATATTTTACCAAACCCATGCCAGGCAATGCTCAGGGCACTTAGGACTCCATGGTGGTGTGGCTCTGTCTTAGAGCTTATCATCTATTACAGGGAGACAATAAAAGGTTAAATCTATATTGTTCTCAGTTTTGTTTCTGAACAACTAAAAATTTTCATTCCTACTAAACATTTTTTTCTTTGCTTAGGTTCTTTTGTATATTCCAGGAATATACGAAGCATGCTTAACTTCAAAGCCTATTCAACAAAAAGCCACAAATTGAGTCCTTAGATGTGTCAGAGGCAAAGCTATAGAAAGTGTTTGATCATTTCTAAGACTTCTTTCAAGATGCTTGTACTTTTTGTGCATAGGAAGTTGTGGAATTGGAGGCTGATCATCCTTAATGATACAACAGGATGAAAGGTGGCTAAAAACACATAACATGTAATAAGAAAAAAAGAATTAGTAATATCTTTTAAAAGATACATTTTTAAAAAGACACTGCATTTGCATTTTCTCTTTTCATCTTTCAAAATGATAATGGAGAAAAAAATTAAAACAAAATTCCTACAGAGTTGTTCTAGGGTATCTCTCATTCAGTATTAAAGAGTACATTTCCCTTGGGTTGAACAGTTTTTCCAAAGCAAGGTAAGACTGGATGACTAATAGCATTATTAAATCAAGAATAAGGTTTTACTTTCCTATAAATTCTTTGAAATCATAGGTCATGTTTTATGAAACATATTCCTAAATTATTTAGAAATTATTGACTTCAGAATACCTGATGTAAGATTTTCTAGTAAGATCATGTGTCTTAAATGAAATTCTGCACTGGCATAAATGTCTTGCCTTGTGTCTTTTTACCACAAGTTTTCCCAGTTTTAGTTTAAAAATGTTTATGGTTTGTCTTTGGTCCATCTCTTATGTTTTTGGAATGCCTTCTTACTAATCTTCACATGGCTAAGTCCCACTCACCCTTTCAAACTCATCTCAGGTCTCCCCTCCAACAGGGAGATTCTACGAAGCAATCTGCCTCCATACAGTCTCTGGGATAAATGCCCTCCTTCCACACATTCTATTTTGCATTGTATTGTTACGTTTTGCTCTTCTCCTCCGGGTATGAGTGTCAGGAACATATCCGTCATATTTACCAGTCATACTTCAATACTGAAAGAGAGAAGGCGTTCAATATGAATGCACCTGAAGTTGCAGACTCTCTTAATTCTGGAAGGTTCCCTGCATGTTTCTTTGTCTGATTAAATTGCAGTGTTTAGGTTGATTACCTACTAACAGCTTTTTATGAATTCAAATATTAAAACAATTCATGTTGCAGGGACTTGATTACAGACTTATTCTGGTACTTCTGTAATATCATCCAGAAAGAAAGGCCTGCATTAATTGAATATCATGGATATTTTTATAGGCATAGACAGAAGGACTTTATTTCTATTAATACTTAACTACAAAACCTGCTGCGACCACCACTGCCTCTGCCAAATGTCATCCTGGTGAACATGCGGTAAATCTGATCTAACCAGAACCCCTAACCTAGTTCAGCTGAGCACGTGAGATTATTTCATGACTCGGCTTCTTCATCATTAAGTCAAGCATGTCAACATTAAGGTGTTTTTGTTTTTTTTCTAATTTTTGCATTGTGATAAAACACTTGCCTTCTTCAAAGAAGCAGAGTCTCTTTTTCCTTTCTTTCTTAACCCCCTTTTATTTTTTTCTTCAAAGAGTAATCTCTTTAGTCTCACTCTGAAAAGCAGGGAAAGTCCCCTTCACCAGGGCTAGAAGCCAGCACCCCATTCCAGTGTTACTCGTCAAAATGAAGAGTATCAAAGGAAACTGGGAAAAAACGAACAAACAAACAAACAAACAAAAACAGAACCAAGCACCCACCCCCTTGGAACTGAGTCTCCTCTTGTGTATTAGATAAAGGTGAGGCATGACTGAAGACATACCTTCAACAAGTAACTTGTTCCTTGGTTCCTGGTGTATTGTTGGCAGATATAGAGTTTATGGCCGTTAAAATCACTTCCATGCTGTCACTGTTCTTGACTAATATTTGTAAGATCAGTGCATGTATTTGGAGAGCTTGATGCGTTCCTTAAATATTTTCACAGTAAAGACCTTACCTAGTTTGTTACACATGGTTGCCCACATTGTGAAGTTACTAGCCCACGTTAAAGAAGACTAGATCTTGAATAATAATAGAAAGCAGTGAAATACATTATTTTGTGTGAAAGCATTACAATTCAATCTCTTTATAGCTCTTCAAATTAAGGTTAAAAAAAACCCAACAGTCTCTACCTAGTCAACAGCGTATCTTCTTCAATTTAATTTTCCCTTTTGTGAAGCTATGTCAACAGCTTTGCAACATTAACTTTAAACTTTGGTACTAATCTGGGTTCTGTCTTATAAATTAATTAATGGAGTTGTTAAAGAGGCAGGAGAAAAATCAACATTTGAACAGCCCACTATTCATACCCTTCTTATCCTTTGTTTATCTTCTCATGGAGCAATGAGAGAAATGTGAAGAGATTCCTGTCAATCAGATGCCATCCATAGCATCTGATTCCAAATAATGGACCTCAGTTGATTCCAAATATTCCAGAATCAAAGCTCTTCAAAGCTCTCAAGATTTATGGTTTTTGTTTCTTGATTTATTCAAAACCCCTTGATATGGAATCAAGAACCAAAAGAGGAGAATTAGTAATTCTTTTAAAAGATATTTTAGAGGATACATAGGGGGGTATATTCGGGGACTGGGGAACCACAGAGGATGTAGCCCTAACGCAACCAGGGGATTCCCTAGGTGGGAGAGAAGGAGAAGTGAAGGTGAGGGCATCAAAAGAGTGTTGGGCAATGGGAGGAACAGTTAAATAATAAATGGAGC